AAAAAAATAATGATATAAAAATTCCTGAGACACTTAAATGAAAAGTACTCCAAAGCTAAGAAAAGCCACTAATATATGCTGTATTCTTCTTTCCCTTTCCCCAGAAATGTGTGCTGTACTGGCCAGAAAAGAGAGGGATATATGGGAAAGTCGAAGTTCTGGTTATCAGTGTAAATGAATGTGATAACTACACCATTCGCAATCTCGTCTTAAAGGTAAGATTATGTAGCTAGAGCCATTTACAGAGCGGATGACGTTAGAGGGTTACATTTCTGCTTTGCGATTATTTATCCTGATAAGTACTACGAATTCAATTTAAGTAAACTAAAGAATGTTAAGATCTAAGAGAAACTATAGTCATTCCCTCATGCATTTCTTTGTTGTCAGCTATCATTAGTATATGGAATAATTAAATTAATGTAAGTAAATACTAAGGAAATTCATTATGTAGGATCTTGTGATCTTATTTGCATTAATAAAACATCTCTGATTTATTAACAACTTTGAAAGCCTTTAACTCAAGGCTGTGCTGGAGATTTTACCACGATTTTTTTTTTTTTATGTCATTTTGGTCTAGGCAGCTTTAAGTAAGGCCTGGAAGCTGTGAAAGAGAAAATCTGCGCTTGTGGGTGGCTGTGGGAGGCAAGATGAGCTGAGGTGTTGATGAGATCTTCAGAAACGTGGAGTTACAGTAATTTATAGGGACTTTCCCCAGACCAGATTATGTCATAGAAAAATTATCTTATTTAACTCGTGGGCAGCAGATGCTGAGGAATGTTGCCATGGTATTATTTTTGCTTTTGGAGAATAGTCAGCCGAAGATCGCAATCTGATCTGCAGCCTCACTTCTGGGACAGAATCATCACAAAGAGGAAGAGAATGGAGGCGGGGTTTTTATTTGGAAGTTTGGGATAGGAAGGCACTTGCCAAAACTTGTTTGTCAACACATGTCCTTGAGTGCCTGCTCCATGTCAGGCCCCACCTGGGCAGTGATGTGCATAGATCCTCACTCAAAGTGTCTCCAATACGAGGATTCCATGTCGCTCCTTTACTGCTGGGATTCCTCACTGCTGTTAAATACTGGAATTTGGGATGAGTGTAGAAGTATTAGCATGACTGACATGAAATTCAGTGTTCTTCTTTTGATTAATATGTTTGTAAAAACCTGTAAGGAATGTTCACAGAGCAGGAAACATAATATATCCCATTCTTTCTTGGCTACATTTTGTCTACCATTTTGCTTATTGTAACAAATTAGAAACATATATTTAGCATATGTTACATACATTATCTATATGATAAATATAGGGCAGACCTCACTTGACAGAGGCAAGATTGTCAAACTTTGAGACAAGGATATTGACAGTAGAGTTTTCTCAAGGCGAAGGGGTTCTTCAGAGCTGGGGAGCTCGGCACCGTGGTCCACGCCTATATTCCCAGCTACTTGGGAGGCTGAGGTGGGAGGATGGCTTGAGGCCAGGCGTTCAAGACCAGCCTGGTCAACATAGCAAGACCCCATCTATAAAAAAAAAAAAAGGAAAAACATTATCCAGGCATGTTTGTGCAAGCCTGAAGTCCCATCTACTCAGGAGGCTGAGGCAAGAGGATCATTTGAGCCCAGGAGTTTGAGGCTACGGTAAGCTATGATCATACCACTGTACTCCAGCCTGGATGACAGAGCAAGACCCCATGTCTAAAAAAAAAAAAGGAAAGAAAGAGAGAAAGAAAGAAAGAAAAAGAGTATTATGAAAAAATTAGATATTTTCCACCCAGAAGTAAGTTGCCAGCAAGATGGATGGGAGTGATAGAAGCATTCAGTATTGTGGTTTGGATGACTTTTAGTTCCACAAGGGAATGAGGCATTTGGTGGCTGTTGCTATTTTCAGCAAGGAAGTCACACCCAACATGTGAAGCATTACTGGTACACCTCATGGCCCGATCACAAGACTCCAGACAGTGCCCAGCCCCTCCTACAGCTCATGCTGGATGTAGAAGAAGACAGACTTGCTTCTGAGGGCCGAGGGCCTGTGGTTGTCCACTGCAGGTAAGACAAGAACTGTTCTTTCTGCCTGAGCAACTGTCCATTCTTTGTAAAACCATAGAGCAGGTAAAGTGGGGTTTTGCCTCCTGACAATGACTTTGTTGGTAAATTAAATATTTATTGAAATTGGCTAACTTTCTAATATTTGAGTCTTAATCAAGATGACATGCCTATAGTCCCAACTACTCAGGAAATTGAGGCAGGAGGATTGCTTGAGCCTGGGAGTTTGAGGCTGCTGTGAGCTATGATCGCACCACTGCACTCCAGCCTGGGAGACAGAGTGAGACCTCATGTCTTAAAAAAAAAAAAAAACAGAAAAAAAACAGATGATGCATACAGGAATGAAGTAACACTTTTAGGGCTTTTTTGGCAAATGAGAGTTACACAGTAGACAAAATACAAGTTCTAAATAAGTGGCTCATTGAACATGAGACCTTATTCCAGCCATCTACCTTGAAACTTACATTGATTCATTTAATCTCATCAGTCTCATATACATTAGGAATTACAGATGTGTTTTCCTTTTTTTGAAATTATTGATGGCTCTTTTGTTGTTTCAGAATGGCCCCTGAGCTCTATTTGGATTGTATCTTGATAACATTTATTATTATTTCAATTTGGTAAAAACCAGTCAACTATTTTAAGAATTATCTCATGAAAAATAAATGGAAACCAATTTAGGAACTGAGAAGTGGGCAGGTAGTAGTTCACTAAAGGAAAACAAAGTATTGTCACCAGGACATGGGTGCTGGAGGCCAGGCCAACAACAGTGACAGGTGTCTGTGGGGGCTCCTTCCCCTAAGGTCTAGCTCAAACCTCTCTCCTATAACCAATATCTCCTTCTCCTTGTTTTCCTTTTAGTGTGACCCAACTAAAGCAGACATCTTTAAAGTCATTTATATGACTAACCATTTATTCTTCATACTTTCTCAAAATAATTTTTCTTGCTTTGTT